GCGCAGGGGAATGGGGGAGCGGCGGCACGAGGTAAAGGCACGGCGGCGTGACGCGTGAGGGAGAGGGGGGCGGCGCGGCCGCGCCGGGGAGAGAGAGGCGCGAGGGAGAGGGGGTGCTTTGGTAATGTGGAAGACGTGCGTGAGAGCCAGTGGCGAGAGGTAGACGACGTGCCGTGGAAAGTGGTGTTAGCAGTTTATTACTTAGCAGTTTTTTTTGTTGCATGCAAGCAATCTATCAGGTGCATGAGCCCACAATTATCCATCTACAGCCTCGCCGTGATGAGAGGATCAAATTGGACGTGGAGTTAATTATGGGATAGCACCGTAATTCTCGGATCTAAGCTGTTTCTTTCGTTAGTCGCGATTAAAAGGAAACAACGGTGGGGAGTCCATATATACAAAACAAATGGAGAGATTTATAAATTGAAAAGTAAAAGGAAACAATAGCGCGAACATGGAAGGATGTTATTAGATTGATGAAAACAAAGGGAGAGATTTCCGTAGAATCATGTGGGCAGTTATTTCCATAGGTGTAACAACTAATAATCGTGAGATGGCGCCGTGATTATGTGATAACCCCGTTTCTGTTGTTCTTTCCATTTTCTCTCGACTGAATAAAAGGAAAAAAGGCACCAGCAGATCGCGTGGAGGAGGCCGATGACCGCGTGAGCACGATCTGCGGGTGCTGCCTCGTCTGCCTGGGCTTCTTCTTCGGTCCGATCGAGCGGACCGGGCTTTAACCGGACCGGACCGAAGATTTTTCGGTCCATATTTCATGGACCGGACCGGCTGTATTTTTGAGCGGGCCAGGACCGAGCTGGGCGGGACCGAGCGGGCCACGAGCGGGCCAAAAAGCCCGCTCGTGTCGTCCACCCTGAGTGTAAACGTTGTTGTCCTTTAGCCATTCCGTTCAGGAAATCCAGAAGCCCTACCTCCCATTGCTCTACCACTTACATTAGTCCACATGAAAACTGTGACGTCATATTCTTTCAAAATTTGGTGAAGCTGCATCTGAACATGGTATTCTTCTAGGAGTGTGTCCCATTTTTTTGTGTGTGAATGTACTATTGGTTGAGCAAAGCAAGACAGAAGATGATGAACTTGAAGATGTGCATAAAAGGAATTCCGGTATTTTTATTGCTATAGAAGTACAAAAAAGAGAGGGCTAGACTGTATATTTCTGGCATCAAGTAGGATGAGTATGATATTGTCGTGTAATGCACGTCCGAGTAGCTAGGAGATGGCACACACGGCTATTGTTGTGTAGTGCACGCCAATATACCTAAGGAGGCGACGCGATTCAGCAAAGTAGAGGTGTTCCAATGGCGTTCCGGCGTCGGCTCACCTTGATATGGGCTGGTAGATGGAGTGGCCGAGGAGCCCAGATGTCGGGACATCCAAGAACGACGATGCCAAGGACGACCATCTTGGTGTGCATTACTGTGTTATCATACCCATATCCAGTTGCATCACATTGTCAACCAGGCGAAGCGGTAGAAAACTCGCGGAGCAATAACTATGACTAATCTCTATTTTTTTTAATCCTTTGCAACACACGTATTATTTTGCTAATGGCTATTTTGCATGATTTGAGCATGGCACAAACACAAGCATTTCACATACACAACATGCATGCTCTTTCTATCTCAAATTTGTTCTTACGCCGCTGTCTCTCTTTGCCTCTCTCGAGTAAACCCTGATGTCGACCGACATTCCCGATCGACGCCGTTTGTCCTCCACAAAGCTCTCCACTGGTGTAAATCCGTCATTTTATTATACGGAGAACCCTCTCGCCTTCGCTGTATGCGGCCTTGTGACTAACTCTATCCGCTCAGGTTTTCAGGAGTTGTGTTCCCCTAGATGCCGGCACGGTGTCTCCGGCTGGGCTACCTTGACGCCCTCTACGCAGTTTAGACCATGCTTATTGTGGTATGATGTATCTTTTTTTTCCGTTACAACGCACGGGCATATTTGCTACTGGGCTACCTTGATGTATCTTTTTTTTTTCCGTTGTAACACACGGGCATATTTGCTAGTAGAATGATGATATCAACTATGATAAGGAAAGAGGCTGGTGCGGGCCTGTGCAGGAAGAGACGGTGTTCGGTAGTGTGGGCTGGGCAGAGGATACGGCCCGCAAGCCCGCACCTGCCGCGCCTTGAAATACATCGCCTTTGGCGCCCAACGCAACCACCTCAACCAACGGCCTTCCTCACCGGAGTCCCAAGAAACCAAGAACCCCGGCCCTCCTCTCCCCACCGCGCAGCAGCCCACCGCATCCGCCCTCCGGCGCCGGCGACCGATGGACCGCTTCCAGGACGGGCACCACGTGCGGCTGCGGAGCCGCGTGCAGCGCACCTACCTCCTCGCCGCCGACGACGGGGAGAGCGTCACCCTCAGCCAGCCCCGCGCCTCCATGAACGCGGCGTGGGCGGTGCACATCTACGACGGCGGAGACGGCGAAGGCGAAGGAGACGGCGATGAACCGTACCTGCTCCTCCACAGCGCCGCCTACGGCCGCTATCTTTCCGCCACGGCCACGCCGGCGAGGCGAGGCCACCACGGCCTGCGCGTGGAGCTGCGCGACTACGACCAGCCGGAGGTGGAGGCCATCAAGTGGCGGGCCATCGGGTCGGGCTTCGCGGACGACGTCGTCATGCTCCGCCATGTCGGCGGCAGCTACCTCCGCGCCAACGGCAAGTACCTCCCCTGGAACTCCACCGGCGTCAGCGTCGACGACAAGGCCAGCTCCATGATGTACTGGATCGTCGAGCCCATCCCCTTGAGAGAGGCGGGCATACCTGCCATTCCTGGCCCGCTTCCGGTGAGCTCGCCGTGACCCGCTTCTTGAATTGCTTTCGGCGATTGCGAATTGTGTTACTTTCTTTCAGTTGCAGATCTCCCGAACATAACTATATATGGTTAATGGTTGACTGCAGACTCCCCTAATAGACCTCTCCGCCATATTCACGCGCCGGGGAGCGGAACGGGAGATCCGAGGCGTCGAGCCCATCCCGGGAGAGGCGGCCATGCCTGCCGATCATAGCCCGGTGAGTTCGCTATGACCCCCTTCTTGAATTGCTCCTATCGATTATTCGGCGTCGTTCATTTGAACTGCAGTTCTGTTCTTGCCGAAATTTCGAGCAGTTCTTGACTCCAGAACATAACCATGGTTCTCTTTCGATTCAACTGCAGAATCGCCCAATATTCTCCGCCATATTCAGTTCTCGCGGACGGCGCATCCGGTTCGTGCTGGCGCTCGAGGACGGGTACTACCCCGAGGAGGTCGACGCCGACGACTGGCGCCAGTTCTGGTTCAGGGGGAGGTCCGCGTTCAGCCTGAGAGGCAACCTGGCGGCCCACATCGACGAGGACGACCCGAACATCGCCATGTGCGTCCGAGCAGGCCGCCACGGGAGGCTGACCCCGCTCGTCGTCAACCTGCCCGACGGTGGCTATGGTGGGACCCTCGAGATCGTCGTCTTCCTGGCCGGGACCCCTGGTGAGTGAGTGAATCTTTGACTGAATTTGTTACACACTACATTCACACTTTGGTATATAGTTTACTGAAACTGTTGTGGTCTGAAGAACAGTTTACTGAATTTGTTCTAGTCTGAAAAACAGTTATCTGAATCTGTTCAAGTCTGAAACTGTTAGTGTGAGGCTGTGAGCTGTCTGCAACTGTTGTAATCTTGTACTCGGTTGATCACACTAACAGTTGATTCATCTCTTTTCAGCCTTAACAGAGAAGATGGTGATGATATCCGTTTGATTTAGCCCATTTTGCTTGTGTTTGAATAACCTCTGAACAAAATTCAGGTTTCAACAGTGGTAAATTATCTTAGTATTATGATACATTCTGTTAGAACCTGGGAATTGTCTGAAACTGCTGAAATCCCACTGCTACAAAAAATATCACTCAAATCCCACTGCTACAAAAAATACACTATTTCCATTCTGTTACCACTGTTAGAACCTGGGAACTGTTACACCTGTTTCCAAGTACTCCTTTTTATGCAAAACAATTATCACTCAAATCCCACTGCTACAAAAAATATCTTTTGTCCTAACACACGTGCAGGGTTCGTGAGTTCGTCGTCAACTGTTGTTGCTCATGCAGTTGAGATACCATTTTTTCTCCAAGTTCTCATGTTGTTGCTCATACACCTGCCCCACTAGCCTCTTCCTTCCCCTACCTCTTCTCCCACTTGATTGGGCAGTTTGTTGGCATATATTGTGTGTTTCAGTATTGAATCTAACCTGCATAATTGCCTAACCTCTGTTGTTGTTTCAGAATTGGTATCTTTAATGTCTTTGTTGCAGGATGTCATGCCCTCGGCCTCGGGTGACCAGGATGCTCACTTCTTCATTGGGGCCTAGACTTCTCCACAAAAATGCATACGAGGCCATCCTTCGTGAGCAAGACGAGGACATCAACGCCAAGATTATTTGGGAAACAAGGCTTCTTAACATGATCAAAGTCTTTGCCTGGCTAGCCTTTCGTGATCTACTCAACACCATGGCTAACCTAGCACACAAGCAACTACTTCGCCTTGCCCTAGATGCAACTTACTGCCGACTGTGCCTCACACCTCTTCATCACATGTCCTTACTCTACTCGGGTGTGGCAGTATTTGGGGCTCATGCCAACCCCCACACCCACCAACGATCTTTGGGGAATGCTACTACGAGCTCAAATAGGTCACCGCATTTGGCCGTTTGTTCTAGTCTATATCCTATGGCGAATCTCGGATGCAAGGAATGCCAGAGCTTTCAAAGATACTCACTCCATCACTACTATCAAGCTCATCATAGAAGACTTGGACTTATGGTCACATAGGATATCTAAGCCTAGTGACAAAGAAGATGTACTCTCATGGCGGCTGTTCCTCTCCTGTGCTTATGTAATCTCCCTCCCCCTACCTCCGTTGAAAATAGCGTCAGTCCGGGTTAGTTTTCATTGAAATCATGCAAATTAGAGTCCAAAACAAGAGCAAAAGTGTTTGGAAAAGTAGATACGTTTGAGACGTATCAGTTATATTGATTCAGCGAGAAAGATCCTCTCGAGGAGGTTACATGGGCGTTCGGTTCCAGGATTAACCGAGAGAGAGATTACATGGGGTTGGGATAGAGATAGATGCAATCTTAAACAGAGAATAAAAACTATCCCTATCTCCTAGAAGTGGCGCCCAAGACAACCCTTGGCTGTCCCATGATATTGCAAGTTTAACAGAATAAACCGCATGGTTACAATTTAGGCTCCCCGCAATAACATAAATGCAAGTATTTATTAAATGTGTACATGAGGACAATGACACGAAGACAAAGGTCTGACATCCAATGCAAAATATATCCATATGCAGTTCTCCTTACCATTCTCCATACACCAAAATAGTGTCATCCATGTGAGAGTCTGCAGATAGCAATAGTTGTTGTAACTGTTGGGCTCGTATGACAAGTGACATATGTAAAGAAATAATAGAAACTAATGAAGTTACCAATAGTTGCAATCGAACGGCGTCTTGGGCAACTTGATAGTTTGAACATCCTCCTCTCCATCCTAAATGGTTGAAAGTTGGCCATGATAATAACATAAGATGATAAAAAACAAGAAAAATATGAAAATCACACCACCACATTCAAGTTTTTGCGGGCACCCTTAATATAACTTCCAACACACACCAAGGCCTCCACCATAGCTAGTTTTAGAGAACTCCTAAAGTCATCTAAAACACTTCCACCAGTGCTTAAACTTGATTCTTCACCATCGACATCCCCGGTCACTCCTCCATCGTTAATTTCATGATCCACACTCATGTTTGAGTAATTTCTCTATAGGCTCATGGGTTGGATGGTAATTGGATGCGCTCTCTTATGTAATATTTGTCGGAATTGTAAAGGTTTAATGCCTAGTATCATATATATTATGAGATTGATTTTGCTATGACTTTGCTAAGGTTAATGCTTGACACTAAGCCCGAGTGTCATGATTTTAGATCTGAACCATATGTATTATAAATATCTATGTGTTTGGATCATTCATGCCAGTTGTATGCACATGTTATTGTTCTGGATAGAAGACCCTGAAGTGACAATAATCAAGATATTAAAGGGGGTGAGGATTATGTGTATTCATTAAAAGTTAATGCTTTGATTCGGTACTTTATGAAAGGAGTATCTTAGATAGCCTTAATTTCCATTAGGATCCCTTACAAATGGGAGGGTGAGACAAAAGACGTTGTGTAAGTTCTTATTGCAAACACGTACTGAAGGAAATATGCCCTAGAGGAAATAATAAAGTTGTTATTTATATTTCCTTATATCATGATAAATGTTTATTATTCATGCTAGAATTGTATTAACCGGAAACTTAGTACATATGTGAATACATAGGCAAATAGAGTGTCACTAGTATGCCTCTACTTGACTAGCTCGTTATTCAAAGATGGTTAAGTTTTTAGCCATGGACATGAGTTGTCATTTGATGAATGGGATCACATCATTAGAGAATGATGTGATTGACTTGACCCATCCGTTAGCTTAGCACTATGATCGTTTAGGTTATTGCTATTGCTTTCTCCATAACTTATACATGGTCCTATGACTATGAGATTATGCAACTCCCGAATACCGGAGGAACACTTAAAGTGTGCTATCAAACGTCACAATGTAACTGGGTGATTATAAAGATGCTCTACAGGTGTCTCCAATGGTGTTTGTTTGTTGAATTGGCATAGATCGAGATTAGGATTTGTCACTCCGATTGTCGGAGAGGAATCTCTGGGCCCTCTCGGTAATGCACATCAATATAAGCCTTGAAAGCAATGTGACTAATGAGTTAGTTGCGGGATGATGCATTACGGAACGAGTAAAGAGACTTACCGGTAACGAGATTGAACTAGGTATTGAGATACCGACGATCGAATCTCGGAAAAGTAACATACCGATGACAAAGGGAATAACGTATGTTGTTACGTGGTTTGACCGATAAAGATCTTCGTATAATATGTAGGAGCCAATATGAGCATCCAGGTTCTACTATAGGTTATTAACCGGAGAAGTGTCTCGGTCATGTCTACATAGTTCTCGAACCCGTAGGGTCCGCACGCTTAACGTTCGATGACGATCGGTATTATGAGTTTATGTGTTTTGATGTACCGAAGGTAGTTTGGAGTCTCAGATGTGATCACGGACATGACGAGGAGTCTCAAAACGGTTGAGACATAAAGATTGATATATTGGACGACTATATTCAGACACCGGAAATGTTTCGGAGAAGTTTCGGATAAAACCGGAGTGCCGGAGGGTTATCGGACCCCCCCGGGGGGGACTAATGGGCCTCATGGGCCTTAGTGGAGAGTGAGAGAGGGTCGGCTAGGGTAGGCCGCGCATCTCCTCCCCCTTGGGTCCAAATTGGACTAGGGAAGGGGGGCGGCGCCCTCCTTTCCTTCTCCCTCTCTCCCTCTCCTTCCTTCCCCCTCTCTTCCTTGTTGGAAACCTACTAGGAATAGGATTCCTATTCCTAGTAGGAATCCTACTTGGGGCGTGCCCCTATAGGGCCGGCCGGCCTCCCCCTTGCTCCTTTATATACGGGGGCAGGGGGCACCCTAGAACACACAAGTTGACAGTTGTCTTAGCCGTGTACGGTGCCCCCCTCCACAGATTTCCACCTCGGTCATATTGTTGTAGTGCTTAGGCGAAGACCTGCGCCGGTAACTTCATCATCACCGTCATCACGCCATCGTGTTGGCGAAACTCTCCCTCGGCCTCAGCTGGATCAAGAGTACGAGGGACGTCACCGAGCTGAACGTGTGCAGATCATGGAGGTGCCGTGCGTTTGGTACTTGGATCGGTTGGATCGCGAAAACGTTCGACTACATCAACATCATTACTAAATGCTTCCGCTTTCGGTCTACGAGGGTACGTGTACACACTCTCCCCTCTCGTTGCTATGCATCACATAGATGGATCTTGCGTGTGCGTAGGCAATTTTTTTGAAATACTACGTTCCCCAACAGTGGCATCCGAGCCAAGTCTATGCGTATATGTTATATGCACGAGTAGAATACAAAGAAGTTGTGGGCGTGGGTATATACATATTGCTTGCCGTCACTAGTTGATTCTTGATTCAGCGATATTGTTGGATGAAGCGGCTCAGACCGACATTACGTGTACACTTACGCGAGACTGGTTCTACCGACGTGCTTCGCACACAAGTGGCTAGTGGGTGTCTGTTTCTCCAACTTTAGTTGAATCGGATTCAATGAACAGAGTTCTTTCTGAAGATCAAAAAGCAATCACTATACCGAGTTGTGGTTTTTGATGCGTAGGTAAGAACGGTTCTTGCTAAGCCCATAGCAGTCACGTAAAACTTGCAACAATAAAGTAGATGACGTCTAACTTGTTTTTGCAGGGCATGTTGTGATGTGATATGGTCAAGATGTGATTATATAAATTGTTGTATGAGATGATCATGTTTTGTAACACAGTTATCGGCAACTG